TTCTCTAAAATATATAAAAAAAATCTTAAAATCTCACATCCCAAACATCCATTATCATTGTTGGCCACCACCATTGTTGTCGAACGACCACTCATTTTGTAGGGATGGAAAGCGAACGGGGTGGTTGTGGATACCCCTTCCTCATCCTCATACCCACCTAATATTTTCATAATCACGACCTACCCACCACCCACAACGAGTAAAATTTTTAAATCCACACTTTCTTGCGCAGTACATTCTCAAATCCACCCTCACACCCACTACCTAACTAAATAACCATCGTTCATCCTATACCCATCTGTTACAACCTCACAAATTATATAAGCAACAAAACATAAAACAAACACATCATTAAGAAGCATAATAAAATAAAATCAAGGATTAATTGAGTTTATACCCCTAACATTTGGTTAAATTACAAGTTATGTGCTATTAACTCTTAATATTTATAGAATAGTCTCTAAAATTGTACATAAATTCATAATTGTCTAAATTTTATATGGTGGCTAATTTGTGGGCGGAAGAATACGAAGCAAGTAAGGTCTCAAATCTATCACCAACACACTACCCACAGCGGGTATAACTTTTTACATCTACACCCACCCACCCACTAAACTTATATTCATCCTTGTTCTAATTGAAGCGGGTGTGGTGCAAATTCACAAGATTGTCATAGATTTCGCACCACACCCGCTTCAATTATAAAGTGAGTTTCCAGATTTTAGAGAAATTTTAGGTTTTTTTAGTATATTTCGCACCACTTCCGCTTTAGTGATAAAAGTTTAGAATTATGAATTTTAGAAATTTAAAGTGTTTTTAGATTTTAGAGAAATTTATGTTTTTTTGAGTGGTTGACGAACTTTTTTAATGGTTGTGACGAACTCGACAATTAGAATGATAACGTTAAAAATATTAGACACCTACCTTCACCAAACAAAAATTAGGTATCTTAAGCGAACAGACGTATAATTTAAGTACTTATTTTTAGTTAAGTCTTTAATTTGATATAATTTAATTTCTTATTTTTACAATAGGATAAAGTTCATAAATGGTCATTAAACTATTAAAAATGATATTTTTGAGAAAACTTTCAAAAATTATAAAATAAATATTAAAATTTAAATTCTGTTGAAAATGAGCATCGTATTGTTGGATGTCTTTTAAGTGTTGTTAAGATGTCATGATATATTAAATTAATAGATAAGTTTTTATTGTAACCGTCAATTATAACTAAAATTTAATTTTATTATTTTTCTAATATTTATAAACAATAATTTTAAAAAATATTTTTCAGAATAAATATATTGTAGGTTATTCTAATTGTATGACATTAATTTCAATTAAATGATATTAATTGATATTGGGGAATATTAATTAGAATTGTATATTTTAGGCACATTCATATGGGATAAATTTATAACAAATGTCATTGTTTTGTTATAAATAAGTGATGTTGTAAAGATTCTATAATGCTAGAGACATAATTGTAAGAGAGAGATGAACTAAAGTATTTCTTTAAGTGAGAGAGAGAGAAATAATGTAAACATTGTCATCTTTTGTGATAGTTTATTAAGAGAATTTATAGATCATCTATAATGGATGAAAAAATAGTTGTCCCTTGTTCCCATATGTAATGAGATAAGGGAGAGGTAAGATAGTAGCCTGCCCCCAATACTAGGTTGAGAACAGCTTCCGATGAGACCTCCAAATTATGAAATGCCATCCATGTGACTTGATTCCACGACCTCAAGATTAAGAACTTTGTGCTCTACCAACTGAGCTGGATGGTTTGTATTAGACTAATGTCTCGTATTTGTTTTAATTTGAATTTTTTGTGGTACCAAAATTTTATGAGCTCTTTTTATTGCTCGTTTGTTTATTTTTGTTTTAGTTGCCACAAAGAGAAAAATGACTTTTTTGTGATTATGTAATTTTATTTAATAGTATTTATATTATCCAGTCTAGTTCTAACTGTTTGAAATAGTTGGAGAGAATACAATATTAATTAGAATATTAATTCACACAGTTAAAACACTTTAAATACTTAAATGTCAATACCTTAAGTAGAATATCGATACTTTATTTATCAAATTAAAAGATTACTAATAAATACTTTAAGTAGAATATCGATACTTACATGGTAATATCAACATTTTTAAGTTTGAACGTTGATATAAAAATGTGAGTATAAATATCTAAAAAAAATACATTATTCTACTTTAATAAGGAAGGGTATTAAAACCAATGACTTTTTCATTAAAAATTATTCGTTTAAAAGAAGGTATTGATACTAAGGATATTGTTAATAATTTTTAGTGCACGTGGTTAAAATCTTTTAGCTGATACCTTATTTTTCCCCCTTAGGATTATGAATTCAATAATTATTATGAATAAAATTTTCCTTTATATTCCTTAAATAGGTATTGTTAAAAAAAGTTTAGTTTTCTTAAATGTTTTTATTTTATAATTTTGGAGCTTAATGCAAAAATAAATATTTGAATTATACTTAAAATTAACTTTTGGTGTCTAAAGAATTTATTTTATTAAAAATAGGTGCCTAATGTTTTCTCTTTAACATTTTTAAGTGTTATCGTTAAAAACTCGTTAAGTGACAATTGTCACGTTTATAACTTTTAAAAATTTTAAAACATATAATATTATTTATTTAAAAAAATCTAAATGTGACATGTGTTAATATTTTTTTCTAATGATAGGCACAAAGTATACAAAAAAATATTAGACACATATTTTTAACGAAAAAAATATCTAAACACATTTTAAATATAATTTAATAACTTATTTTACATTAAGCATAATTTTGGTTTAAGCCTAAGGTTTTCTCCACGGTGAGCCATTTATCCAATAGTTCGAATGGATTCCCATCCAGACTTGCGAGTGCGCGAGAAGGTGGGTCGTGAGATTGGCAACCTTTATCCTCATGGTTCTCCAGCCGTCCAACTTTGTTCCTTTTAGGCCCATTCCCCATATGTCCAAACTAATCTCAATCACTGACAGGTCTTTCATCTAAATTCAATCAGGAATCACTCAACTTTAATACTACAAAAAATATTAATTCAATCAGGAATCAATCAACTTTAATAGTACAAAAAATATTATTATTTATTAAGATTTCAGATTCGAAGACGATAAACATTATTCAATGTCAAATAAACATTTAATAGAACATGAATAAAATTGGAAAAATGGTTGAGATAATATAAGTAGAATTTTTTAATTCCCAATATAGTTTAATTTGGAGATTATTTCCTCATATAGAGGGTGAATTGAAAAGTATCAATATAAAGACATAAGGACTTTCATGCGTCTTCAAGTTAAATATGAAGACTCCACGATTGTATGACGTTTTCAGATAAATTAAAATAATTCTAAGAGTGCATGACATCTTCATACCAATACAAAAATCTTAATTCATGAAATAATATGGTAGATATTTTATATGAAAAAATAAATTTTTCCATAATCCTATATGACGAGGATGCCGCATAAAATCAGTCGGCTTGAGTATGGCGGATAGCGGTAGTAGCCAGCAACAGCAAGAACGAAGATAGAGAGACACATAAGTACCCCCACCGAAGGTACAAGTGTCCCCTTTCCACTACTACGTGTCTTTATTAGGTGTTCTCCCAATCAAAACACTAATCGTTTATGTACCCCATTGTCGAAACACAAACAAAAAAGAGTAAAATTTACCAACAAAAAGTGAAAGAACGGAATAGAAGCCATGTCGAGTACGGGTGCCGCTGTGGATCCCCACAATAAGATGAGGGCAAGAGATGTGAACCGGGTGGCCAGAGGTGAACAAGCCCCCAGACCCGTCCATGAATACGGCACCGTTTCCCCACCTCCTAGTCCTCAATCCACCTCCCTACCTTCTCCTCACAAAGACATGGCCCCCGAGGTTTCACTCTTTCCCTTTGTTTTATGAAAATCAATTTGTTGGTATATAAATAATTGCGTCCTCATAGAATTTATGTCTTCCTTTCTCTTCTTTTGCATGTTATTGGGTAATTTGATCATCTAAACAGGAATAAAGTGAGGGATACTAGAGTTAGCGGTGGTCCATAAATATTTTTAAGGGTTAATATAAATACATAATGACTAGGATCGTAAACAAGTCGAGTCGAATTTGAGTGTTGTTGAGATTGATTTGACTCGAAAACTCTAAATGAAACTTAAGTTTAAAATCATAAATTGAAACTCGTAAAAGCTCGAAATGAAGGAAATAATTTTAAAAATTTAACTCGATTGAGTCTCAAACTCAAATTTAAATATAAACATTAAACACATAAAACCTTATATTGCATTTTTTTTAAAAAAAAGTTAACAAGTAAATATTAATATCATAATAATTTATATTTTTAGAAAATAAAATATTAATATATTATACTTTTGAGTTGCTTGTAAGTTTTTCGACTTGAGTATCAAGTAACTCGTTTCGGTTCGTTAATAACTTGAGTTGAGTTTGAACTCGAGTCGAACTTATTCGAGTCAAGTATTTATCGAGTTTTGACCGAGTCGATCTCGAATAGTTCACGATCGGTCTTATTTTATTTACAACTCTAATAATGACAACTTTTTCATATACATAAAATTTTTAAGGTAGATACCATTACTAAAATGAATCACTAACATAAACAAATTTGAATTTCAAGACGGACATTTATCTGACTTGTCACTAATATAGTGATACTTTTAGAAATTTAAAATTTAAATTTTGTACTCTTTAATTTTTTTCAGATAAACTCCTAATTTTATATTATTGATATAAAATCATATACTATATATATTTATCTGTAAACATACAGTTGGAGGGAGAGTTGGATACAGAACCAGAAGGACGACATTGTTACGAGTCCTATGTTGAATATCACAGGTGAATTTTCTTACGTCATTTAAATGAAACCTTAATTACTTGGTTTATATTCTAAATTCTATCGAAAATCCATTTCATATAACTAAAAAGGTGCATTAAAGAAAGGGGGAAGGATGCCCCCCAATGTGACAAGTTTGCAAGGCATTTCCGGTCCCTGTGTCCCGACGAATGGGTAAGAGATTTCCTTGGTTGTCTTAATTTGTTAAATTTGCATTAATTGAGGATGCTAAACGTAATTGTCCTTTTATTTTTTATAGATTGAAAGGTGGGATGAAGCGAGAGCCACCGGAACCTTCCCTGCCATATGAACACCCAGAATATACCACTGCTTGCTTTTCTTCTTTTTATTTTGCTCTTAATATTGTAATTCAAACGTATTTTAATCCGAATGAAATCTGGAACTAAATAAAATGACTGTTTTAAATAATATTTTTTTTAAAATACGTATAAAATAAAAAATGTGAATTTCCGAAACCTCCAATAAATTAAATAAAAAGTAGTTTAAATTATATTATGTATAGCTAGATGTATGCATAAAATAGAAAAACACAATGATCTCTGGAGAGTCTTAGGAAGGAAAGGTAGACTAATTTAAGTCCGAGGAAAGACGCGATCAAAAAGTTATAAAAATTCTAATATATTTGGTTAGACGTAACTTAAAATATTAATTTTTTATTAATTTTTTTGAAAATATTTTATAATATTTTTTATAATATTTTCTATTAATAACAAAAAATGTTACTTTTTGTATAACATTTTTTATTCAACTAAAATTTATATAACATTTTCGATTGACAGATGAAAATATTACTTTCTATATAATATTTTCAATTCAATCGAAAATATTAAAAAAATTAACATTTTAAGTTACGTCTTTTATGAGTTTTATAATATTTTTTGTTGTGTCTATTTTCTATCATTCTTTTAACTTAAAATTAGGTTGTCATGAGATAAAACTATTCAACAGCTTCATTGTTTTTTCTTTCCCTTTCACCTAATGTTCAAAACAGTATCGAACACTAGTCGAGGAAGATTTATTTAAATCCTAAACACGACATAATTTAAGAGAAAGAAAAAAGAGTGTCCGAAAATATAATAAGGAACGTAATACTTTCGGTTGAGCGGAATTAAAATGTTGATTTTCTCTTACTATTTTTAGTTGTAAACTTTTCTTTACAATATTTTTTATTGTCAATCAAAAATGTTAAATTTTGTATAATATTTTCAATTATTCATAATATTTTCAATTATTTATAATATTTTCAGTTCAATTGATAATATTAAAAAATTAACATTTTAGGTTATATTTAACAAAGAATATTATATTTTAAACGATTAAAATTATTCATGGAGACAAGAATAGAAAATTCGAAACTAGAAATTGAAAGAAATATTTATCAAATAAAACATGAAGAGCGAAAATATACATAAATTTTAAAGTAAAGTACACAAATGATTTTATATTATTAAAAGTTATAAAATTATTCTTTGACTATAAAATATTATATTATTGAATCTTTAATTATTAAAAGTTATAAAATAGTCAATCGAAAATTCATATATTTTAAATTTGTTAATAACAGTCTGAGCTAGATGTTAACCTATTGACAGCGATATAATAAAATTTAATTTTAAAATTTTAAACGATTATTGTAACTCAGTCAACAGATTAATGTTTTGGTTAGATAGTGTAGACACTAATTTTCGTCGACATATTTTTTTCCTTTATATGTACCTACATACTTATATATATACATATTTTGAAACTACGTATATAATATATAGTTTTTAATAGTTTTTAAAACTATATAATATATAGTTTTAAAAAAAAACATTTTAGAAAATATATATAATATATAATTTTTAAAATCATTTTTGAAAACATATATATTATAGTTTTGAAAACATTTTTTTGAAAACATATATATTATATAGTTTTTGAAGATATTTTTGAAACCATATATATTATATAGTTTTTAAAACCATTTTGAAAACTTATATAATAAATAGTTTTAAAATCATTTTGAAATTTATATAATATATAGTTGAAATTTTTTTTGAAACATATAATATAGTTTTAAAACGTTTTTGAAAACTATAACATATAGTTTTAAAACATTTTTAAAATTATATAGTATATGGTTTTGAAAATATTTTTGAAATATATATAGTTTTAAAACATTTTTATATGTAGTATTTTATTTTTTATTTCTTGTTTATTATTATTTACTCGTTTATTTATTTTTTTTTATTTTTTAGGTCTAGCATTAAGGTCCAATCAGTCCAGGATTAGGGCCTGGACCAACCCAGTAAAGGTTCAGGGTTCTATCATCAAGTCCAGCGCCGCATGAATCATAACCGTCAGATCAAGATAGGATCAATGGTCAGGATTGCAAAATAACAAGGGTTTGTCTAACCCTTAAATGCGCAGCCAGATCCAGACCGTTGGATCTGACCCAATCCAACGGTCGAGATCAAATCCGGGAAGGTACCAGAAGCCTCAACGCCATCACACCGGTCACCGAGATTTTCGGCCGAGGAGATCGGGACTGACCCATCCCGAAATCCCCGGCCAATCAACCACGATGAGCACCGTGACAATCGGAACCAACAGGCCACCGGTGGGGTATAAATACTCCCACCAAGCCACTGCCAAGGGGGGGAAGAAACGAAACCAAACATATAGATCATTGACCAAAACAGAGCCAAACCACCATCACCGGGCATCAACCGTACCCGACTTCAACGTATAACAGATAACCCAAACCACACAAGTAAACAAAAACCATCGTTCGAGAACAGAGAACCCGAGAGATATCAACAATACACAACCAACGAAGATACCAACAGTAAACAAAAGCCATCAATACAAGCAAGCAAAACCCTAAAAATATCATATCAACACAAACACAAAAGACCCAGCCACACATAAAATACCAAAGTACCAACCAAAGGCCTCGGAGAAGCTATCGGAAAACCAGAAGGCGTCGATTTTGAGGTAAAAGACCCGAACTTTAGGCATAGATCTACGCCGGTTGGGGTCCCTTTAGGGGAAACGGGCCTCGGATCGGGGTTTAGAGTGACAAGGCGAGTGTTTCGGGCTAAGTTTTTTTTTTCGGCCACCGCCGGCGGTGGCCGGCACGGTGGTCGACGCGACGGAAGGGTCATCGGGTAGGGGCCGGACACCCCCAGGCGAGAGAGCTTTCTCTCGTTTAAGAGAGGAGAGTTTTAGAGAAATGGTGAGAATGAGGGAAAAATAGGCCGGTTTTGGTATTTATATACGAAGGACCAAAGTGCAAATACGGGATTGTCAAATCCTTTCCGCCGTCCCTGGTATTTTGAGTCGTATTTCATTTCAGTCACCACATTCAATTTGGCCGCTGGATTTTTAATTGTTTCGATTTGGTCCTCATTTATATTTTATATTTTTTGCAATCTAATCCCTGAATTCTTATTTTATTCATTATTATTATCATGCTTTTTAATTATTATTAGTATTTTTTCTTTTCTCATATTGTTTTTATTTTTACTTTTAAAATAATTTTTTTTTTATTTAATACTCCTTTATTATTTACTTATTTATTTAATTAATTTTAATTTTACTTCTTTGGTATATTATTATTTTCTTTTCCTTTGATTTATTTTTTTAGCACTTTTTTTTATATCTTTTCATTTTTATTTATTTATTCTTTCTATCTAACATTTTTTGTCCTTTTCAGTAAAATCTCAATTAATCAGAGGTAAGCAATTCGAGTCGGATTTCTAAATTTCAATTTAAATTTGTAATTTTCGCAATTAAAAAACAACTGATAAATTAATTGGTACCGAAAGGGCGGTTCAAGGGTGCTAATCCTTCCTTGACCGTAATCGACTCCCGAACCCGACACATTTCTGGTATAACGCAGATCAGGTAAGATGGTGTCCGGCCCACCTAAATTCGTTTTAAAGTGGTCGGTGGCGACTCCAATTCATTTAATCCAAGTCGAAGCCCAATTCCGGGGCCCAACCGAAAGACGGTTGCGACAGCTTGGCGACTCCACTGGGGACCGGTAAGTGAGTCAGGCCAGAATTAATTTTCCGTTGTCTTTTTATGCGAAAATTGTAAATTTAAATTTTAATTTATCTATTCGATTCCAATTATTTACCTTTGATTATTTTGTTTCAAATAAATAGTTGTACTGATGTTTTTTAATGATTTCAGATTTTTTTCAAAATTGTCATCTCTAAGCTCTAAACCCGAGCTCCGAACCCTTTTAAGTGGGGGTGAAAGCGACGCATTCGTGTGAATTTATTCACCGCATATGCCTAGCAAGTAGCCTTCGGGATTCATATACCTTATGTCTTCGTGTGAATTTATTCACCGTATGGGCATAAGGGAATGTGTCCTCTCGAGTTTAACTTAGTCCACACAAGCTTGTAATGAGCTTAGGACTAAGGGTCTGGCAAGCCCAAGGGGGCACCGGCAAGGAGAACTCGAGTACCTTTTTAGAACCTAAACCGGGAGAGTACAGGGAATTAGAGCCCACCCCCGAAACCTCATTCCAAACCCTAGGATGTTTTACTTCCTACTTTATTTTCGGCTCAAAAGCATGCGAACTAGACAAATATGCGGTTAGGATTTGTTTGAAATTAGCATGCGGGATAGAGATCATGTCCGGGTAGGAATTAAAGCATGTGGGGTAGATATCATGTGGGGTAGGATTTTTTCATTTTTGTTTTAATTTACCTCACTAACTCTTTTTATTTTTGTTTTCTTTTATTTTCATCATTCGCATCATTTAAAACGAGGTGTTGATCCACCAAAAAATGTGTTTGTTAAACATGAATAATCAGCATTAATGGACAAAGGGGTTACAATACAAAGAGATAAAAAGCTCAGAAGTCCAGCCGTGGTCAAAGAATACTCAAAGGCAAAGTTGCAGGGGCAATACGAGGAAAAGGTCACTGACCCGGTCGCTCCTTTTAAAAAAACTACAAGAACAAGATGGTGAAACCCTAACTGAGCGGGATGCCATTGCTGATGAATTCAAGAAGCAAGCTTTGGATAGTTTCTCTCGCTCCAATGGCATTTTTAGAAACAAGCTCGGCAGATAGTGAGAGCCGGAGATGCAGTCCTTCGAGACCTTTTGGGGGCAAGCATCTCATTATTTGCACATTTTAGCCAAAGGAGCCGAGATGGTTCGGCAGGATATTCAACTAGTGAAAAAGACGAATCAACTTGTCAGAAGCTGTACAGGATTCGTACCATCAAAAAGAGTTTTTTGTCTCTTCAGACGTAACACTTTTGTCACCAATAAGGGTTATTCAGAATAA